CGGCCCTCTGTGGCCCAAAGTTAAAAACTGTTGTTCTTTTGAGGCCCTCAAGGTGACGCTCACGGCCCACAATTGGGCCGAGCCCCATGGGTTAAGAATCTATGCTCTACCATAACTTATACGTAGTCAGTTTTTGTATTTTTTATTTAAATATATCTAAATGTTTCTTTTTTTGACACTCTTAGTTTGAAGTGTAGCTGCTAAAGATGCTACATGCTAACACACACGGTCTCTCACACGTCCAGCACTGCTTGTAAGAGGTGAGAGTTTTTTATTAATTTGGGATAAAAGTTTTACACGTGAATTTTTAGTGGACCTGAAATTAGCAGAAGCTAATCGGTCCGCTAATAGTTTACAAAATAAAAAAAATCTAATTCCGCTATCAGCAGTTCAGCTAAACACTGCCCACTACTGCAAATCTCCATCTTCTCCCATTATTGGTGAAGGAAGTTTACCAAACGGCAGCTTTTCTAAACACAAACAAAAAACATTTTTTACCTTTGAGGCGTTGGTTTTGAGGGGCGTGGCCTGTGTCGTCTCCACCTCCTCGCCATCACTTTGACCCCGGCTGAGGGCAGCTAGCAGCGAGCGCAGCTGAGGCACCGTGATGGTGCTGTTGTCCCCATAGCGGGCCAGCAGGTCCTGAAGCACCTGCGCAGGTGACTGATCTCCTCCCTGACCTGAAGCCTGACCGACCGGGCAGAGGAGCACGATGAGGAGGAGGAGCGCTGGCTGGGAACAGGGGAGGGCGATGGTCATAGTGGGCCAGCCATGACGGGACCGGATGAGCATGACTCCTTCAGAGGGTGATGGATGTTTTCTGTCGAAGGATTAAATATTGTAAAACAAATTAATCACACACACACACATATTTACTTATTTATTTCAAAAGGTTTGGGATGACTCTTAGCTACTAACACAATAAAATGCGGCAGCCATCTTGAATTTTATGACTTGAAAACATGATCAGTTGAAGACGAATGGTCAGTGATTATGTTAGCTCTGCGTTAGCATTAGTGCCACGCTAATATTAGCTCCATGTTAACGTTAGCTCCATATTAGTGTCAGCATTAGTGCCACATTAATGTTAGCGCCGTATTAGTGTTAGCATTAGCACCACAATAGTGTTAGCTCCGTGTCAGCATTAGAGCCACATTAGTGTTAGTTATGTGTTAATGTTAGCTATGTGTTAGCGTTAGTATTAGCGTCATATTAGCATTAGCTCCGTGTTAGTGTTAGCTCTCAGTTAGCATTAGAGCAATGTGATATTTAGCAAAGTGTTAATGTTAGCTATGTGTTAGTGTTAGCATTGGAGCCACATTAGTGTTAGCTACATGTTAATGTTAGTTATGTGTTAGCGTTAGTATTAGCACCATGTTAGCATTAGCTCTGTGATAGTGTCAGCATTAGTGCCACTTTAATGTTAGCACCGCATTAGTTTTAGCTTCATGTCAGTGTTAGCATTAACATCACTATAATGTTAGCCCAGAGTTAGCATTAGAGCCATGTTAGTATTAGATTTGCATTTCTGTTGACTTTGTGTTAGTGTTATTATTAGTGTCACATTAGTGTTCGCTCTGCCGTTGTGTTGGGTTTATGTTATTATTTGCTCCACAAAGGTGTTAGCTTTGCATTACTGTTAGTTCAACGTTAGCATTAGCCTCGCTACAGTGACTAACATACGTCACTAATCATAATATTCCCTAATATTAATAGGTGCCTATTTTTCTGATGGGTAATTGTGCACGATATGATTTTGCCCAATCCTAGCTAACACACAGAGCTAACACACTGTGGTGCTAATGCTAACTCTAATACAGGGCTATCATTAACGCGGAGATAATACTAACGTGGCACTGATGCTAACACTTACACAGATAAAAAGTATATTTTTTTTATCTTTATGTGGCTTAATAACTGGAACTTTAAGCAGACACTTCTTCAGACGGCAGCTGTAAATTTTAATCTGATGTTGTGTCTAAGTGCATAAAATCAGCTCATTCCTGTTTTACAGTCCTGGCACAAAAGTCCTGTACATGTTTCGACTCATTTCAGAGCAGACCCAGTGAAGCTGGCCTGAACACACAGAACCATTCAGGTTTGTGTTGTAAAGAAGGGCTCACCTGTTCCTTCAGGCCCCCTGACGGCAGCTGCAGCTTAAAGTTCTGGTTTCAGTGAGCCCGGCCCGAGGCCGTCAGTATGCCGAGTGATGCCACGGATCACCTGTAAGGTGAGACGGAGGGTGGGATCGGAGGAGAAGCAGCACCTGAAGAAAGCCTGCGGAGGAGATGAAGACAGAAAGGAGGTCAGCCACGGGAAAAAAGAAAGAAAAAAAAACGTTAAAAACGTTCCAACCTCAAAGTGACCAACCAACCACAAATCAGCATTCTCTGTCTGAAAGTCCGAGTTCAGCTGCAGAAACTGATTTTAAATGTCAACATGTCAGTTAGACCATGTCATGACACACAAACACCCTAAATCAAACACAACCCAAGGTCCACTTCAGCTGCAGAGATAAACTCAGCCGAGATCTTCAACACAAAGTCGAAGGCCAAGGGTAGAATAAATGACCGCTTCAAACTGAATACAAGACATCATTTATTTATTTTATTTACTTTAAAGTTTACTGACGTAGTGTCCTCATTTATAGAAGCGGTTTAGAGCAACAGAAAACCAGACAGACAGTGGTGCCTTTTCATTAGTAAGGTTATCAGGGTTAGCAACATTAACAGGGTTAGTAGAGTTAGCAATGTTAGGAGCCTTAGCAGAGTTAGCAACATTAACAGGGTTAATAGAGTTAGCAATGTTAGGAGCGTTAGCAGAGTTAGCAACATTAACAGGGTTAATAGAGTTAGCNAGTTAGCAATGTTAGGAGCGTTAGCAGAGTTAGCAACATTAACAGGGTTAATAGAGTTAGCAATGTTAGGAGCGTTAGCAGAGTTAGCAACATTAGCAGGTTTAGGAGAGTTGGCAACGTTAGGAACATTAGCATAGTTAGCAAACGTGGTGGGCACGGCTAACCAAAAACTTAGCTTCACCAACCACTAATCCGCTAAACACGAATGTTAGCCCAGCTAATGCTAAACTGCTTAACAGATGAAAAAATGAGTGGAAGCTAACGCTAACCACTAAAACAACTGTCACTAAATTCAGCAGAAGCTTATCGTCCAGTTTCCAACGTTAGCAAAAAAAGCTAATCCGCTAAATGAGAAACTAGTTCTGCTATTAGCGGGTTAGCAGGACTGTGCCCACCACTGCAGAGGACACAATCAAACAAAACTTTTATTTTAAATAACAATAGAATAGAATAGAATAGAATAGAATAGAATAGAATAGAATAGAATAGAATAGAATAGAATAGAAATAGCCTTTATTGTCCTGCTGAGGGGAAATTCAGGTGTCCTCAGTACAGAGGTTCACACAATAATTACTTTACAAACTATAGTACACAAAAAAATGAAATTAACACTGACTAGCCATGATACAACTACTGATAATAAAAATATAATATAAAGAATTGTGCAAGAATAAAAAAGATATGATTTGTTTTAGAGATAGTAGACTATCAGAATCTGACATTAGGAATCAGAATTTGCCTATTTTCAGTGCAAAACTATGTTAAAATAAAGTAAAAAAAATAAAAACATTAATAAAATTATTGTTTAATTATCAGGAACTACTATAAAAATTAAAACTTGTGTCTTAAATTATGTTACATGAACACATGAAACATGTAACACGTGCTTACACATCACCCAGGAGGAAGGAAAAGTAGTTCCATCCAACCACAGATTTCAATAGTTTGGTTTCTTTCCACTGTGTTCCTGTTAAAGGTGCACGTTACCTGAAACGACTGACGTATCAAAGTATCAATATTTTGATTTTAGAAATAATTTAAGGTCTTAAAGATCTGGAATCATGAGTGTTGATGTTTCAGTATCGATCCGTGTATTATTAGAGACGACTCAGACGCCACAGGTGCAGCAGGTGCAGAAAAACACGTCATCGCTCCAAAGATCAAGATAAAAACATTGATATTTAGCTTTAAAAATTATTCAAGTATTTTGTTTTTGAAGGATGAGCTGTTTCAAAACAGAACAATGCACTGCTCCAGCTTTAACTCTGCTAAACATACATTCAAGCCAAACCACGTTATTTATTCTCATCCTGCAGAAACAAGCAGAAACAGCAGCCTGTGGTTTGAGTTTCCTCCTGCCAGCTGCTAAATTACACGTTCACCCCAAAACAACACGACTAAAATAAGTCTCTCATCAACTTAAAGTCTTCAGCTCCAGTCATGTTTGATCCTGTCTGGGTCCACATTTGGAAAGTATTTTTAGGTTGTTTAGGAGAAAACAACAACGTCTCACAGCTGCTTTGAACGAATGAAAATAATGAAATTTTAGATTATTAGACGACCGAAGCAAAAACATCATCATTGTCATCCTGACAGGAATCTTCTCACCTTTCCTGCAGCAGAAGCTCCTGATGGTTTCTCCTGGGCCGACAGTCTGCAGAGGCTTCAGCTCGGCCTCTTTATACAGAAGCTGCAGGTCCACTCATCAGCTGTAATGACTGTTTCTGCTACCTTTAAACCAGCAAACACCCTCATTAGATGACAGGGTCATCCCTGCCCGGCCGCCCGCCTTCAAATTAAAAGGTTTTTAGATCCGACCGAGTGACTCGAACCCTGACCTGTACCCAAACCTGAGGTCCAGATAATCCAGATAACAACCTGTGGTCCAGAACGGTTCACAGCTCAGCAAATAACGAGGATTTGTTTCATTTCACTTTAGAGCAAGGCATGGGGCTCCAAGTGTAAAATAAAATGTTAAAAAAGGTCATTTTCATTATTTAGCTCACATTCTGAGTGTAAATTTTACACTAATATTTTATCATTTAGCTCACTGTTCATATATTTGATCATTTTTACTAAATGTTTTATTTAAATGTAAAATAATATATGTAAATATTAAAACCTATATTTAAGTGTGAAAGTTACATGAAAATGTTGCAGCTAGATTATAAAGTTTACATTTAAGAATTTTGCAATGGAACACCAGCGTTTGCTGCAAGTGCTCAACTTTTGTTATGACATCATCATCATGAGACAAAACAAACTGCTTAAGCTGCTAACACTGGCAACCCTGATAAAGTTGCTAACTATGCTAACACTCCTAACATTGCTAACTCTTCTAAACCTGCTAATGTTGCCAACTATGCTAATGCTCCTAACATTGCTAACTCTACTAAACCGGCTAATGTTGCTAACTCTGCTAACACTCCTAACATTGCTAAATCTACTAAACTTGCAAATGTTGCCAACTATGCTAAATGGTAAATGGTAAATGGTACTGAACTTATAGAGCGCTTTTCAAGTCCCTCCGGACCCCAAAGCGCTTTACACTAACAGACATTCACCCATTCACACTCACATTCACACACTGATGATGGCAAACTACACTGTAGCCACAGCTGCCCTGGGGCACACTGACAGAAGCGAGGCTGCCATGCATCGGCTTCACCGGACCCTCTGACCACCATCAGAAGGCAAGGTGGGTGAAGTGTCTTGCACAAGGACACAACGACTAATGCTAATGCTCCTAACATTGCTAACTCTACTAAACCTGCTAATGTTGCCAACTATGCTGATGCTCCTAACATTGCTAACTCTACTAAACCTGCTAATGTTGCTAACTATGCTAACGCTCCTAACATTGACAATTCTACTAAACCTGCTAATGTTGCTAACTATGCTAACGGTCCTAACATTGCTAACTCTACTAAATCAGCTAATGTTGCTAACTATGCTAATGCTCCTAACATTGCCAACTCTACTAAACCTGCTAATGTTGCTAACTATGTTAATGTTCCTAACATTGACAACTCTACTAAACCTGCTAATGTTGCTAACTATGCTAACGGTCCTAACATTGCTAACTCTACTAAACCAGCAAACGTAGCCAACTATGCTAACACTCCTAACATTGCTAACTCTACTAAACCTGCTAATGTTGCCAACCATGCTAACAGTCCTAACATTGACAACTCTACTAAACCTGCTAATGTTGCTAACTATGCTAATGCTCCTAACATTGCCAACTCTACTAAACTTGCTAATGTTGCTAACTCTGCTAATGCTCCTAACATTGACAACTCTACTAAACCTGCTAATGTTGCCAGCTATGCTAATGCTCCTAACATTGCTAACGCTACTAAACCTACTAATGTTGCTAACTATGCTAACGCTCCTAACATAGCCAACTCTACTAAACCTGCAAATGTTGCTAACTATGCTAATGCTACTAACATTGCCAACTCTACTAAACCTGCTAATGTTGCTAACTATGCTAATGCTCCTAACATTGACAACTCTACTAAACAAGCTAATGTTGCCAACTATGCTAACGCTCCTAACATTTCTAACTCTACTAAACCTGCTAATGTTGCTAACTCTGCTAACACTCCTAATATTGACAACTCTACTAAACCTGCTAATGTTGCTAACTACGTTAATGCTCCTTACATTGCCAACTCTACTAAACCTGCTAATGTTGCTAACTATGCTAATGGTCCTAACGTTGCTAACTCTACTAAATCAGCTAATGTTGCTAAGTCTGCTAACGCTCCTAACATTGCCAACTCTACTAAATCTGCTAATGTTGCTAACTCTGCTAATGCTCCTAACATTGCTAACTCTACTAAACCTGCTAATGTTGCTAACTATGCTAACGCTTTTAATGTTAATGACTCTAATGCTGCTACCATGTTTAGCTCGGCTATTGCTGATAACCCTGCTAATGTTGCTAACAGTGCTAACGCTCCTAACATTGCCAACTCTACTAAACTTGCTAATGTTGCTAATTCTGCTAACACTCCTGATGCTGCTGTCGTAATGCTGCTAATATTGCTAACACTGCCAACATCGCTAACTCTACCAACCCTACTAATGCTGCTAACATTGCTAACTCTGCTAGCGCTGCTAAAGCTTCCCTGCGGCCGGTGTCTGAGCTGCACTTCAAACTGCTGGACCACATGAACCATCCGTACTGTTTTCAATAAACATATTTTTAATTTAAACATTAAAATATCATATTCAGCAATGTTAGCAGCATTAGCGTTTTGCTTTTGTCGCAGGATGATGAAGTCACAACAAAAGCCCTGCACCAACGGCAAAGGCTGTGTTCCATTTAGAAATTCTTAAATGTAAACTTAATAATTTAGCTGCAACATTTTAGATTTAATTTTACATTTACATTTATGATTTAGATATCGAGGCTTTCCAGAGACAAGTCCCTACTTGGGAGCGGCTACGTATGCTGTGTTTTTGGGAAATTGTAGTCGGTGAGTTTACTATTTTATACTACTTCTGTGATATTACTACTACTTCTACTTCCTGTTATCTTCTTCGTCATTGTCTTTTTCACCAGTAGAAACAGCTGGTTGTTGATCATGTGACTCCTGTGATGTGAAAAAAGTGTTTCCATTGCAGTTTTGCGAACAACACCAATTTCGATTCAGCCGAAAAACCACCTCATCCGAGCACAAAAACATTTTGTTGAAAAACGTAATTCTTTTTCTAAATTGACGTGTTTCCATTGAGTAAATTTATTTTCGAAATTCTAATTTGCGCATTTTCAATGGAAACGCAGCTACTGACTGACAGCTCTTCTTGTTGTGCAGCGTTTTCTAACTCACCTTTTCCTTCCCACAGACTTCCCACTGAGGTGCCTTGATACAGCACTCTGGGAACAGCCTGTTGGTTCAGAAATGTCTTTCTGTGTCTTACCCTCTTGCTTGAGGGTGTCAGTGATGGTCTTCTGGATAGCAGTCAGGTCAGCAGTCTGACCCATGATTATGGTTTTGAGTAATGAACCAGGCTGGGAGTTTTTGAAAGCCTCAGGAATCTTTTGCAGGTGTTTAGAGTTAATTTGTTGATTCAGATGATTTGGTTTATAAGTCGTTTAGAGAACCTTTTCATGATACGCTAATTTTTTGAGATAGGGATTTTTGGTTTTTCTTTACTTTTTTGCCAAAATCATCAATATTAAAACAATAAAAGTCTTGAACTACTTCAGTTGGTGTGCAATGAATCTAAAATATATAAAAGTTTAATGTTTATCAGTACATTACAGAAAATAAAGAACAATATGCTATTTTTATTGAGGACCTGTACATGTATAAGGTTTGATCAAAGCGGTTACATTTTCCATCACAAGATAATCTTCATTTAAAATAGATATATGTTTTTAAATGTTTATACTTTAATGAATTAGTCATTATGGATGTCTGAAACTTTATCTATTTTTGTATTTTTCTTTAATCATGTTAGTTTTAGAGTGTCTTGTATTATTTACAGCTCTTTTGTTTACTTCTCGTGTTTCCTTACAGTCATTAATACTTCATTGCTTTATAATCAGGACATGTTTTTGTTGTTTCTGTGTTTTTTTATCCCTTAAATCTACAGACAGTCTGGTTGTTTTATGATCTTAAAAACACCTACAGGACCGTAATGACAGAATAATAACTGCGGTTCTGTTCTTTAAAAACAAACAAACAGATAAATGCTGTCCTCCTGCCCGGGTTCAGACCCAGCTGTGGATAAATTAGGGGTCGGTTAAAGTCGGATAAGCTAGCCCGTTAAGTTGTTAGCCTTGACAGTTAGCTTACCGGAGGTGATGGAGGTAACCAACGCAGGCTTTCTGACGTCAATCCCCGCGAACGGCAGCTTCCCTCCGGCTCAGACACGCGCTGGAGACTCGGAGTGAATCAGAAAACGTCCTGTGGGAACAGCCGGGAGTCTCAGCTGGCCTCATCCATTCACGGACTGACAGTTGTTGTTTTTTTTTTTAGTTACGTTTCATCACAAACTGCACCCGTAGGTCTGAGGGGTGATGACGTCAGCAGTTCTCTTCTCCGTCAGCGGAGTTCTGTCTCCCCCGTGTGGTCGGATCAGGCACTGCACGTGTTTTTAGTTTATTTCTTTGCTCTTCGAATTCTACAAGTTTAATTCAGTTCAATTCAATTCAAAAATACTTTATTGATCCCAGAGGGAAATTAGGTTAAGTTACTTTATTTTCCATCTTTTTAACACCATTTTTAAAATGTAACTTTAACTTCAGAGTATTTTCTGGGTTCATGATCTTTGAAAAGAGATAAAAATGAGGTCAGAACGCACTCCTCGATTTCACCCTCGTTCTTTTATTAATGTCGAAATTATTTTAGAAACTACGGAAGAGGATTAGGGCCACTGAAAAATAAAAAAAGAATTCTGACTTTAATCTCAGAATTCTGACTTTTTCTCAGAATTCTGACTTTTTTCTCAGAATTCTTACTTTAATCTCAGAATTATGACTTTAATCTCAGAATTCTGATTTTAATCTCAGAATTCTGACTTTAATCTCAGAATTCTGATTTTAATCTCAGAATTCTGACTTTTTCTCAGAATTATGACTTTTTTATCAGAATTCTGACTTTTTTCTCAGAATTCTAACTTTTTTCTCAGAATTATGACTTTAATCTCAGAATTCTGACTTTAATCTCAGAATTCTGACTTTTTTCTCAGAATTATGACTTTAATCTCAGAATTACGACTTTAATCTCAGAATTACGACTTTAATCTCAGAATTACGACTTTAATCTCAGAATTTTGACTTTAATCTCAGAATTCTGACTTTAATCTCAGA